TTTTTTTTTCTTCGGATAAATTAAGTGAAGTATAAACATGGCTGCAATGTAGAAAAAAAAAATCATATAGAAAAATTCCTGGATTTTTCATTAATTTTTCAATATTTTTTTCAATATTTGGTGTAGAGAAGCACACCGGGATACCGCTAGTCTATTTATAAACACGAGAAACATACACATATGTACATGCAGTCATATCAAGAGCACCCCATTTCAAAGTGATATTGTTTTTCACTTGTGTTTATTTATTTATTTTTAAGAATTTTCATTAAAATAAAGTTCATTCTCTGAAAAAGTCCATATAAACCCAAGTTTACAACTTTGTAGAAAACTAGAAAAAAGTCAAAAAATGTACATCCAAATTTCAAACTTATTTTGTCAGAATTTTTTGAGTATAAAGTTTTAAAGGCCTTTCAATTTTACTGCAATAATATACAAGTTTCAAGCGGCTAAAAATTTCCGTTATTGCGGTTTTCCTCCATATAAAAAGATATTGTGTTTATTCATTATATGGGAGCAAATGCGATAAAAAGAATCAAAGGTAAATTTAAGACTCTTGAAACTTGCACATTGTCATACTAAAATTGAATGAGCTATAAAGTTCATACTCAAAAAAATTGTTACACTTCTGAGTAAATAAGTTTGAAATTTGTATTGAAATTAGTTGCATTTTTTTTAGATTTCTACCAAGTTTTAAGCGTGGGCTTACAGGGTTTTTTTAAATGGACTTTAATTTAATTGAATATTTTCAACAAATGATCACTAAACGCTATATACCATCTGAATTTCATAAATTGTAAAATATAATTATAGAAATATAATAAAAGCACTTGAATTTTTAATGGAAATTACACTTTTATGATTTACTTTAAACCCTTAAACCCACGCAAATTATGAAATGTGCTACTTTTCCACGCGAGAATCTGAAATGTGCTACTCTTCCACGCAAAAACCTGAAATGTGCTACTCTTCAACGCACGTGGTGAAATCTGCTACTTTTCCGCGCAAAAATCTGAAATGTGCTAGTCTTCAACGCAAATAATGAAATGTGCTACTCTTCCACGCAAAGATCTGAAATGTGCTACTTTTCGACGCGAATAATGAAATGTGCTAGTCTTCCATGCTAATAGTGAAACGTACTAGTCTTCCTCGCGAATAGTGAAATGTGCTACTCTTTGTAGGGACCGACGATATCTTCTCAGAAGTAAGGGAAATGTCAATTTTTTGTTTAAAGAATCTTATTGTATATTACCTTGCCACTGCTTGCTTCCAAAACAACGTACACCAGCAGTATTATTTCCTTTTCATCTGCTCCCAGTCCGGGGCCATTTTGTCCGCAAGTTGCAATATATAGTGATACCAATCGCTCTGGAACCTGCATATTTTCTTTCTAATATTTGTCGCGTTTGGTGCAACTTTTGGCTAGTATCAGGCTGATCTATGAAGTCGCAGACAGTATGTTCCTCGGTTTTGCTTTTGCATTTGTATATTCTTTAAGTGTGAAAATCTTTCCAATAGGATACTATAATCTATTAAATCGGTTATACTCTTGTCACGAATTAAAGTAAACCAGTGTCATTCACACTTCTCTTATCTCATGTCCGACTTATCTGAAATAACGTCTCTTCAGCTCCAATATATTGCTGCAAGAAATAAGGATTATTGATTTTAAACGTTTCATTAGATATAAAGTAATAAAACCAGTGAATAACACTGGTCAACAGTGGATTTGGTTCAAATGATCTATAATTAATTTCTAAATTAGGACCTTATACCGATTATATGAACTGAACAAATTGTTATTTCCTACGTGTAGTTTTCTAGATTTTTACTTGCACAGAAAAACACAAATTTGCATTAAAAACTGCATTTGTTTATTACGTTGTTATGTACATAAAAATTATACTTTTCGCTATTTTTGGTAAGTACCTTTCTTCCACAGTTTTTAAGTTCTGGTGTATTGGCCAAGTTGACTGTGGAGGAAGTGCACATCCTAAGGTTTTACAGCTCTCCAGCATGTAGTTTACGATTTGGGAGTAATACCAGTGGCATTTGACCAGTTTTGGTTATTTTTCTTTCGTTTATTTAATATTTATAATTTTTGTGTTAAAGTCCAGCACATCACATGATCAGCACTACGAAAATTCACATTTCAAACTTCGTAAAAAAATTAAAAAATTAAATAAACTTTAACAATTACACTCAAAAGTTTTAAACTTTTTATATGTACAAAATTTTTTAAAAACAAGGTACGCAGTTTTATAGCTCTCTAAATTTTAGTGGATTAAAGTGCAAATTTCAAGCCGCTAGAAGATCGGGTTAATTTTTAATAATTTTCTCCCATATAAAGTATGCTGGTCAATTACTTTTATATGGAGGAAAATGCCTCGGTACTTCTCAAAACTCTTTCCTCTGACATCCATATTGTGATAGATATTTCAATTATCTAATTTCCTTAAACCATGTTGAATTGGGTTTTTAAACCGGTGTCTACCTTCCTATATGTATGTAGTTAAGGTACAACAACATTTTGATTGATTCCTATAATATAATAATTCATTTACCATATTAAATAACAAGCTTTCTAATTTAATGTTTTTGCACAGCACTATGTACATAAGTGTTTATATATCGTACATATGTATGTAAGTACATTTGTTTACATTCTGATAATTTGTTAAAGTGTTTGTTTTATATACTCGTTTATTTGTATTTTATTTATACGAAAACTCAGTAAAAGGTTGAAACAATGTTAGAATTAAATATGCTACTTACTTAATTAAATATTTTTGTGTAATAACAATAGTGCTAAGAAGATTACAATTACTGAAAATTTATGCCATCGATTGAAAAAGGCTGAATAATTTTTATACAATTTGTATGATGTATTTACATAGGTATGTATTTAAAAGTATTGTACTGAAACAACAAAGCTTAGGTTTTTTATGTAAGATGGTAATAAAAATAATTGAACTTTGTTTAAAATAACAAAAATATATTCGTAAATTGAACTAAAGTAACTATATGAACTAAAGAAGAAGGTGAACGAACTATAAGTGAATGGTTCACTCAAAAGAACTAAAGTGCCCAACTCTAATATGCAGTATGAAAAATTCGGTTTGTATAGGAGGTGCCACGCTCCCTTTATATATAGACATTTTTTTAGCCTATAACCATCCTTGGGACGTCTGCAGCAGGTGTTAGCAATTTCGAAAAAAAAATAGTTCAGCCGTTCTCGAGCGAACAGAAGAAAGACGGCTTTTAAAATATATATTAGTATTGATTTGAATTGTGAATATTAAATTAAACCCAACTTTTCAAAAAGGTGGCAGCCCTCTTCAAAATATTTTCAAGATATAACCTTCATAATCCTCTTTTGTTTGACACCCATATTGTGATACATATTTCGACTATCTATTTCCAACAATTCAACTAGAGGTTGACTGTGTAATCAGGTGGCAACCCTCTTCAAAATGCTTTCAATCTGAATTCCTCTTAACCTATTTTGTCTGACACACATGTTGTGGTATATATTTCAATTACCTAATACCCATAATTCAAATCGGAGTTAACTTTGTAAACAGGTGGCAACCCTCATACATGAAGTTAAGAAATAAAGCCTTTTCAAAACCATTTCGATTGATCCCATATTGTAGTATTACACTTAACTTTATTGAATTTAATTTCTTGACATGTGGGAACTCTTTTTCTAGAGACGAATATGCAGATATACGAGTTTCCGCGATCGGACCACGGTAACAGAGAGTCTATCGATATCAAACAAATTTATTTTCTACATATACACTTGCTGCTGAGTTTTGGCTATTTTGCTTTTGTTAATTTAATGTTTATAACTTTTTGACGTAGAATACGTCTTGCGTTTCGAGATGGAGGTTATGCTGAAATGTTGTAGTTGTAATTTTTAGAGCTTCACGAAAACGCTTATTGCACGAGAACTAGTGAAGCGATTTCAAAGAAAGACGTGGCGTTTCTAGGGTCGACAGATTTTGTATGCGCAAAATCAGTATGTTCGACTTTTTCCTGCTTAAAAAATCAGTACTTTTCAGTACATTTTTATTCAAAGCAAAATTATGAATGAAAGTAACAGATAATACTTTAAAACGCCGGAGAACTTATTTTTGACAATATTTTGGTATATATTAAATAAAATATAGTTCATAAAAAATAAAAGTTTTATTCATTTTAACATGAAAGTACACATCATTGAACTCAGAAGCCAATAAATTGTTTTATATTCATGAAATTTTTTAATAGTAATAATGAGATAATTTCCATTTTCAGCGCTTGAATAGTCAAATAATTCAATACATTTCATTTTAAAATTACTTTTAATTTGAAGCTTACTTTAAAAAATTTTAATTAGGAGCCGATTTCTCTCTTTTCGCCAGGAAGCAAACTATATAGATCCTCTCAGAGTTGCTTCGTTTGAGTGTGGTATTGAAAAAAAAAAAAATCTAAGTTACATGTTTTTTTAAACTGTGGAAAAGTACCACTATTTAAGGACTTCATCTATGTTTCCTCATGGCTTAAATTACTTTTTTCAACTAAGCAAAAACTTTGAAAGACTAAGAATTCTCTAGAAATAGTATCTACCTTAATGTCTCGTACGCAAAACTCTTTTACAATATCAGTAAATTGTGAAAAAAGAGTTGTAAGTTAAAGGAAAATTTGTTGTTATTAAACTGTTATTTATTTTCGAGATAACTAACAACACACGACAAAAAAATGTCAGCCTTCTTTTTAAATAATTTAAGCTGCATCATATTATCGCAACTGCTACGTAACGAGCCGGCGATATGCCCGTAAAACGATTGATCTTTTTATTGTATTATTTTTTTGGGCATATCAAACATTATCTGAAACATGTCAACTATAATTAAATTATTTTCTTCTAACATTTTACAGTACAGTTTAAGGAAGTTCCAAAGTTATGTAAAAACCTTAAGAAAATCCTAAAGTATTTTGTTCGAATTGAAAATTCAGTACAAATCAATACAAATTGTGAAAAATCAGGACATTATCGTACTGATTGAAGAAATGAATAAAATCAGTACAAGAGTTAAAAAATCAGTACTGTACTGATAAAATCAGTACGTCTGGCAACCGTAGGCGTTTCAAAGACAAAATTCCAAACCTATTGAAAAATACATTTCTGTAAGTAACCGATTTGGTGTGTGTCCTGGAAACAATGGTAAATATTTTGGGGTAAATTTTGAGCCTTTAAAGTGCTCTAACAACTTATGATTTGCAGATATAACTTTCATTTTCGGGATATAGGTTTTTGGAGCAGTAGAAATATTATCGTGTACAGATTTTATATAAATTCAACAAATATTGAGCATATTAAGGCCAAACATTTTTGAAAAAATTTGCAAATTTCTTTTATTACCACAATGCTCGAAAACCGCTCGAATGATTTTGTTTTTGTTTTCTTTAGTCAAAAATTCAAGAGTTTTCCTTTCGTTTGGTATATGGGTAGTATTGGTTGATATCTTCTAAGTATGTTTATTTGATTCAAATATGTGGACATAAATGTTTTCCCATACAAAATCACTTCGTCATCGTTTTGCAAACACGTGCATGCGTTGGAAGTGAGGGAAGGAGACAAAAAGTATGTATGTATGTATGTGTGCGTAAGTACATATTTCGGCTTTTGATCAGAGACCGAAAATAATTATTATCCTAATATTCAGGATCAAAAACGTCGCCTTGTTTTAAGAGAAATTTTTTTCATCTTTGTATAATAATTATTTACGAGAAATATCTTTTTTCGTCTCGCGGGACGATTATTTCAAGACGAATATGATTTACGTCTTCTCATAATAATTATATGGGCTTTTTATTTTTTTCGTCTCTCGGGACGTTTATTTCAAGACGAATATTATTTACGTCTTCTCATAATAATTATATGGGTTGTTATATTTTTGTGGTCTCTCGGGACGTTTATTTCAAGATGAATATTATTTACTTCTTATAATAATTATAAGGGCTTTTTATTTTTTTTCGTCTTTCTGGCAAAATATTTTATTTATTATCACTTTTATTTCAACACATTTTGATTAAAAGAAAAATACTGATAAAAATGAAATATTTCACACAAACAACAAAAAATATAATCGATAATCGCATGAGGCTTTTGCCTGAAAATTTTAAAATGCACTTAGTGGCATTGTGCTACTAGATAGCTCGGCCCAGTAATCATAGTCAACTTATTAACAGTAGACTGCATCATTCCCCATACAAGAAAAAATCGGTACTATTCTTCCACTGGAATTATGAAATCTATTATATTTTAAGACTTCTACCAAAATATTTCTGAAAAATAATAAGATTTACGTGAGCTGGACCAATTTGAAAATACCTCCAAAAATTGAGTTTTTATTAAAAAAAACACAGTTTTCCTCAAATATTTTTTGAAAAAAATTCCCTCAGATTACCAAACAGTTTAAGCTTAAAAAATTTTTGTACAAATATTTTAAACAAATTTTCTACGGAATCATAATATCTAATGAGATTTTCGATGCTGTTTTTGAACTTTTATCAAAGACTGGTTTAAGATAAACTTGAATAACCCTGCCAAAAACCCTACCAATTTAAACTTATGAGGTATCATTGGTAAGGT